GGAAGCCCCCTGAACCACAAGAACCTCCTCAGAAAATCTCACTGTACTTCTTCACCACCCCCCCTAAACTCCTTTATATATTGATTTTGAAGGTTGGACTCGATGATCTTGGGCATCTCCTCCAACCTTAATGATTCTACGATTTTATGATTGTCTTCCCACATCAACTCTCATCCCAAGACTGGCCATTACAAAGTGATTGTTTAAGGGTGTTTTCTCCTCTCTCAACACAGCCACAGAAGGATCAGCTTTACGCTACATTTGCTTTTCTACCCGACAAGAAAACGCCAGAGCAACCTGAGGTTCAGCAGCTCTGAATCACCTTCCTCTCTTTGCACACACCTCTGGAAATTAAATAAAATGGGAGCTGCCCAGCCATAGCAGTTTGGCTGCCTCTTACTGAGCTGAGAGAAAGGGCAAAGAAAGGACTTGCAGAAGTGTGAGAGGGACACCAAACCCAGCAGAGGACGTGGCCCTGACTGGCAGGACCTGCCTGCAAGGAACAGAGACCTGGCTGCAGAATTCCAGCCAGTTTTCCAGCCCCTTTGCCCCTGGTGTCCTCCAAAAACCCCACATCCAAAGCCACACAACCCCTCTGTGGGTTCTTCACTCCCAAGGAAGGAGCCTGGCTGAGCAGGACTGGGCAGGGGCAGAGGCAGAGGAGGCTGCTTGGATTTCCCTTGGTGGCAACAGGGTGGTGATAAGGAGAGATTAAGTCTTAATATATAATGGAATATATCCATACACATATCTATTGGAGAGAAAACTAAAAATATTAAGGCATCAAAAATTAGCTTAGTTAATCACCAAGTGGGGAATAATTACATGTGAAAATAAACATTACACTGGTTTAGAAATCTGAAAGAAAGAATTCTAATCCCCTGTATCCTGACTCAGCTTTTATTTTCTGGGGAACAGAAAATAACAGGGATTAATAACAGGGATTTTATCGTATTTTATTTTTTATTTATGTTTTGCTCCTAATCGGTGCCTTCACCAGCCTAATGACAGCAAGATCCCGACTGCGGTAAGAAAACCTCATGCTGAGGTTGCTGTAACAATTTGCCATCTAGTGGTCAGCGGGAATCTCATTCCTGCTTGGCTCGAGCAGAGAGAAATGTGTCCACCAGGATTGGGTTGTGTTCCTCGGAAATCTGGCCAAGGCATCCACTTAGTTTAAAAAAGTAACTGTGGAAAACCCAGCTCACCTCCTAATAATTTATAATCTGAGTATTTACGGTCAGGCACCTTGAGGCAAACTGAACTGAGGAGTGCTCCCTCCTCTCCTCTTCCTATAAGAGAAAATTTGCCAACGTTAGTAATTGTGCCTTTTCATGACTTGATAATAACTGGAAAACTTGCTTTCCCATCTCAGACAAGACATTTGAAAAGCTGCCGCTGCTCCTGATGTAAGCAGTGCCTTTAATGAAAAAGGTGCTGCTCTCCAGGGTAAGAGTTTCCACACCGAGCTCTGGTTTTGAAATGATCACAACTGGTGAAGGTGTCACACCCTGGCCTTGGTCAACAGCCCTGTAGCCTGGGAAACTGAGGAGCTGGGAGGTTTTTGGGAATGGGTTCAGGGGGAAAAGTGTCTCAGATTAATGTGCAGCACAGATGACCAGAAAAATCGGTGTCCTTGGCAGTGAGGGACCACAGAGGCTTCCTGCCCAGGGGGATCAGGAAAGTTTAACTGCACAGGGGTGGAGATGTGAGCTGTTTGGGCTCATCCTGCCTGCCCCAAATGCCTGACATGTTTCAGCTGCCTGTCAGTGGCATCCAACCATACCATTGCTTGGATTCCACACGTGCCTTCAAACACCTTCTGGGCTTTTTAGAAAAAGCTGGGAGCAAACAATCAGCATTGTCCTGCTATCCTAGCCAGGGATAAAACAATCAGCATTGTTCTGATATCCGAGCCAGGGACATATATTGTTTTAATTTACCAAAGCTGCCAATGCACACGCACAGATGCTCCCTCAGGCACACAAAAACCCAAATTCTCCATTTTCTACAGAGCAAGCCTGACTGAGAAGGCAGGTCAGCTTCCAAAATGTGCATATCTGGTGGAGAGAAGCTCTTGGAAAGAAAGATCAAGCAACTTCTAAGACCACGAGTCACATCTTGACACTCTTCCTCCGTGGACTTTCAATTTTTGGGACAGCTCTGTGTTGGAGTGCTGGTGGGATCAGGGCAGCCCTGCCCCTCTCCTGGTGCAGACAGCAGTGGCTCTGCTGCTTCCAAGGTGTTACCCTTGTGCTTGGAGCCAACAAGCTTCCCCTTATCCACCTGCACATTAACCTTGGGCGGTTATCGGGCCGAGCTCTGATTGCTCCTGACTCCACCGTTGTTTCAGAGGTGTAGGGCTTGCAGTGCTCTGTGGGTGCCTCCCACAGAAATCAGTGGGAATTTTCCATCCATCCCAAGTGGAAAAATCTCATGGGCCACAATGCAAAAAGATCCTTCCCAACAGACAACCCACAAAGCTGCTGATACCCAAGGAGCTCCAGGACAGACGTTGTGTGTCATATAGGGCATGTCTGAGTTAACTGAGAATTAAAATTGAAGGTTGAATATATTAATATATTCAGATTTGGGCCCCTCATGGCAAAGAAAGACATTGAGGGGCTGGAGCATGTGAAGGGAAGGGGTTGGAGCAGCAGGAGCAGCTGAGGGAGCTGGGGGGGCTCAGCCTGGAGAAAAGGAGGCTCAGGGGGGACCTTCTGGCTCTGCAATCCCTGACAGGAGGGGGGAACTGGGGGGGATTGGGCTCTGCTCCCAGGGAACAGGGACAGGAGGAGAGGGAACGGCCTCAGGCTGTGCCAGGGGAGGGGCAGGTGGGATATTGGGGAAATTCCTTCCTGGAAAGGGCTGTAAAGTATTGGAATGGGCTGCCCTGGGCAGTGGTGGGGTCACAATTCCTGGAGGTGTTCAAAAAACATGTGGATGTGGCACTTGAGTGGTTTAGTGGTGAACGTGGTGCTGGTTGATGGTTGGACTTGGGGTGATCTTAAAAGGTCTTTTCCAAACTTTATAATTCCATGATTCTGTGATTTCCTTCAGATTGTGACCACTCAGAGCAGACCCTTTGCTGACAGACTGATTTAAAGATTAACAACCTTTTCAGGCCACAGTTATTTAAGGCAACAGATGGACCTGATCTTCAGGGACACTTTACCTGTTGTTGCCGCTTTTTACCTCCTTGGTCTTTCCCTGTAGTCCAGTAATGATATCAACCACCTGCAAGATAAGAAAAATAGATTAATTACAGTGTAATACAGGTACATAGAACATACTGTAAACTGTGGCCTAGTCAGCAAAGAGAGAAATGGCAGGAAATCACAAGGGCAAACACAGTGTCAATAAATAAAATATCAAATTTCTTTCTCCTGCACATGTCCTTTTCTCTGCTTTGTTCAGAGCTGGGTGTACATTCCTGTTTGCCCTGTAATTAGCTATTTTAAATTGGGAATAAATTTCTTTTGCTCTGCAGCCTTTTCCAGCAGGGCCTTTGAGGCTCTTGGTGATACCAACAGGCCCAGGCTCAAGGTCAGTAAATTCAGAGCTGGGAACAGACCATCCTGTAAGAAACTGGGGGCAGCAGAACATGGCCAGGTGGGTTGTTTGGTTCATGATTCTTCCTGCACTTCCCTCTGTCTGTGCTGTGAGCTGGAGACCCCAAAAGGTGCAGCAACCCCACAGCAGATTTGCCTCTGGGTGCTGCACCCAGAGGTTTCCTGTGAGCTGGACATGTGGGCATTGGAGGTGCTGTGAGTGGATGGAGAGCTGGAGCTTTATTTACCAAACAACAAACACAGCAGTCAAAATGCAAATATATTCCTCACAGGCCTGACTGATACAATGAGACTGGGAACTCAAATTAAAGCTAAGAACAATCTTCTTCCATTTTTGAGTACATGAAGGGCAGGGACACAACTCCCTAACTCAGAACTAAATGGCAGATAATGAGGTATTGAGGTTTGTTTCAGAGTTCATAGAACATAAAACAAGTATTCCTGTATTTAATTACCAAAATTTGACTCTCCAGAAACATTCTTTGGCTCACCCAGAACCCACAGCCTGTTGTGGATACAATTAATCCCAAAGGACAGCTTCACCATATGATAAAATGCTCCCTTAATAAATAGCAGATGGTTTGATCAGGAGTCTGATTTGAAAATAACTACTTGCAGATCTTGGGCCAGTTTCCTCCAAGGGACTGTCTTGTCCTCTGGCAGCCACCCCAGGCTCCAAGAAACAGCAAATATTCAGTCTTCAGCCCCAGCACATCCACCCCTTCCAAGCACTGATGGAAAGGATGTGGGAGTTGCACCATTCCCTGGGATCAGCATAAGAGCAGGGAGGTGGCAGCAGCGCTGCCTCCCCGTGTATTTTCCACCAGCCCCTGACACAAATGACTCCCCAGCACACTCAGCAAGTGGTCACAGCTCTCCATGCCCTGGCACTGTGTGAAAGGGAAACTTCACTCCAGGTGGCAGATTTTTTAGGACAGGGACAGTCTCCTCTGCCCAAAAAAACCTCTCTGTGCTCATTCAAACTGCTGCAAACTTCCACTGGCCCCACAGAATCCCAGCTTTATTTACAATGTTGGTAATGTAGATCTGCTCCCTTCCTTTGCCTCCATTCACCTCTTTGCTCCCTCCCTCCAGCACCTGTGCATGAGGTGAACCAGCACCTGAAGAGGCTGGATGCTGATGCTAAAGTGAAGTTCTCCACCCCAAGAACCTATTTAATATCTGATTCTTCACCAGCATGAAGCCAAAGCAAAGCCTGGGCCACGCTGCAGCCTGAGCATAGCAACGAACTAAAGGCAAAATGTGTCTCCTCTGCAGCAAAACTGGCAAGACCCACTTTAATTCTGATTTTGGATGAAAAAAAAAAAAAGGGCAAAGCGTTTTCCTCAATTATTAAAGCATTATCTTTATTTGTGTATCATAGGTTTGTCATACATCAAAGCTTTGAATGGGCAAGTGGAGCCTCGTCCCCGAGCTCCGCTCCAGCTGGAGAGCACGGTCCCCATCCCAAAAGCATGCAAAGAAACCAGGCAGTTCCTCTCAGCAGGAATGTCAGGATTCAGTTGCAATGAGTTTTTCACAGATTTTAAGGCCCAGAATGCTCGGAATTCCTGCACTGGCACAGCCATCAGTATTCTCCGGTGCTGCAAGAAACAAGAAGATGAAGAGATGATCAGCGATGAGATCCCTGCATCCAGCCAGGGAAAAAAAATCTCAACCCCCTGCTCAAGGCTCCTGTCGGTCCCAAAACTGTGCCAAACATTTGTGGTGTAACTCAACGGGGGAGAAGCCTGCCCAGCTCAAAGCACTGAGAGGACAGGAAGGTTTGAGGGGCAGGTTATGCACTGCACCAGGAGCAGAGTGTTCAGATTGTAACTCACGTTCGGTGGCTACGAGCTGGTAGAGGGGCAGTCCCGTGCAGAGCTGCTCAATGCGCTTGCCATAGAGGATCCAGTCCTTCAAACGCCCCAGCACAGAACTGCCAGACTGAAACTGGGTCCACACGTTATTTGGAGAGTAAACATCCTTCATCATCTGAAAAGGAGAGGTTACACAGCAGCAGTGATGTAGCTTTGGTTTCCCAAATTTAAAATCACCTTCCTTTGCCTCACAAAAAACCATTAGCTAAAGAGGTTCCATGCCTTTAAAGAGAAATAAACATTTTCAGTCTGTTCAGAAACAAAATTCACTAGATACTAATTCTGCCAACACTGCAAACCTGAGCGTATTTCTACCTTATTAAATTACGTTAATTGGCAGTAAATTTTGCTGTAAATTGTGCTACTGCTGGGCTGGCACAAAATGGGCCAAAACTCCAGGTCATCTCCAAGAAATACTTCCAGTCACCTTCTGAAACCTCAGCTTGAATAAGGAAGCCAAAGTATGGTCAAAGTAAATTGATCTCTAAGCTCTGTTCTGAAAAAAAAAATTAAAATTCAAGCTATGTCAAGCTCAAAATATCAGCAGGGCAATGAATAAAGGGCAAATCTGCCCAGAGTTACATTGTGATCACCTCAAAATAGTCAAATTACATCAGTTTCAAGCACTGGGGATCGTACAGTTCGAGGCACCCTGACAATGTGTTCTAAAACTGCAGGGGGGCTGTGATTGTTCATTATCCCAGGAAAACGTTCGACATGATATTCCCTGGAAGTTCTGTCTTGTTGGATCAGCTCCATCATGGCTAAGACAGCAACAGAGCAGCTGCTTTTGGAGGCAGAGTGGGGGCTCCCATCACACCCCACCAGTCCTGCTCTCCTTTGTGGACAGTGAGGGGTTCACTACGAACTCACCTGCCTCTCGAAAGCCAGCCGTCCGATCTCTTGCAGCTCCGGGATTAATTCCTTCTGGATTTTCATGATAAAGCAGGCATTTCGGGAGAACAGCCTGGTGGCAATATACCCCTGAGGCCAAAAGAAGGAAGGTTAAATATTTAATTAAAAATGGCTGGCACTGATGTTTGTTGATGGTCTCCACTTCAGGGCAATCCAGAAGAAAACCCGAGTGGCCACACAGGCTGCTGCATTTACTTTGTCCCCTTTGGCAATGGAAGCCTGTCCCAGTCTGTAAGACTGGAAGCATCATTTCTGGCAGACTTTTCTGCACCTGAGTGCTGGCAGCCCATCCTCAACTCTGCTCTCCTCTCACTGCCATGAAGTGCCACCACAGCTTTCATTTGCAAGTCTTTTAAACCGATCCATCGTATGGGTGAGACAAGGAGATGGTCTAAGAGGGGGAAGGCGATGGGAGGGTCAAAAGACACTGGTTTCAGGGCAGCACGTGGCAAAAACACACCATAATAATTTCTGAGTTTAAAAACTTGCTGAGAGGGGAAGTGGAGGCCGATTTTACTCACGTGGGAGTAGTCGAAGATGGTATCGGAGGAGTAGACGCCGGAGCGGACGTGGACGTCGACGACGTGCTCCTCGCTGTGGATGGTCATGGTCCCGGTGACATAGTTACTGCCAGGCTGTCGCAGCACAAAGGTCTGTGGCACAAAGCACAGAGTCACTGATTGTCAGCTGGCTTCATCTCGAGCAGGTGCAACAGAACCCAGTTTGCTTTAGGGAAACGCTAAATCCCCTCACGACCCTCGGGCAGTCTCAGGAGGCTCCCGAGGTGGAGGTCAGGGCCCTCCTGCAGGCTGAGGAAAACCACAGTGAGACATCCCAGTCATCTGGGACTGGCAGGAGACTGCAGCAGTTTCCAAATTTCAGCTGAGCTGAGGGGACCTGTGTGCCCCAGATTTCCCGTTACTCTGCACCCGCACACAGCCACCTCTTTGCCTTGACTGTCACCTCTGGCAACAGCTCTTTTTCTTTGGCAATAACCAACTTGTTAGTTCCTTCTGTGCTTTTCTAACTGCTCTATTCCCCCTGACCAGGGATCCAACACATTTTAAATGAGCACATTCAGGAGAAGGTTCATCATCTACTTACGTCCAGTGCAGAAGTCTGAGCCCAGAAGACTCCCAGCAAAACGAGGACTGAAGCCTGTAAAAGGAATCAGCATCTCACTCAGCAAAACACCAGGCAGTGACTTCAAAACACTATAAACTGAGGGCAGCAGCAGTAGCATCAGTTTGAAAAATGACCCATTTAACATGTGCATTAGTTGAAAGCAATTACAATTCTGCATTCCAAACTTCTCGTTTATTTGGGTCTCTTTTGCCTGTAACTGAAAAAGCAGAATAACTTAACCATCAATTTTTTTGTGTTCTCAGAAGTCCCTCCTTGATGCCTTGTTACTTCTTGCTTCGCCTCTACAACTGCAGTTATTAAAACACAACCAAACCCCCCTTGTGAATGGTAACCAGTTCTTCACTCTGTACTCAAGTGATGCTGCAACAGACTGCACTGACCCAAGGAATGCAGGTTTCTTACTGAACCACCAAAGAAACAGCACGTTGTACCTTGGGCATCTTCTCCTCTGTCCTTTTGTTCCTAAGAAATAGGAGCTTAGAGCATTAAAAGTTCAACAGAAATGGAGATACTCACAAGTCTCTTCATTTTTCTTTCGGATGAGAGCAAGACGCAGCAGAAGGTAAAACGTGGGGAAATCCCAGAGACCTTCAACTTTTATATCTTGCTGGAGGTGTGGGAAACACTTGACAGAACTTTCCTTCATGACTCGAACAAGTCCATATCTACATGTCGTAAGCCTCCTATCTGAATTTTGGGTTGGCACAGATAACCTGACCCTGATATATTTAAAGCACTCAGTAAGACTCAGTAAATCAATCACTCTACAAATGGCTATTATTTACTGGTTTAAACTTTAGAGGAGTTCCCAGGCTTGCTGGTTCTATTTTTTTAAAATGTTTAACAGGATATTATCCAGAATGAAATGTCATTGGGAATAACTCTGCTATTCATTTGTACAAACTGCATTTTGTCTTCTGGAATGCAATCCCCAAGAGCCCGACTGACGGTCTGCAGACAAACCCTGGATAAGAAACACCTGTGTCATGGTGACCTCCACACCAGCCACCCAACAGGACAATTACTCAGCCATTTCTTTCATCTCATCTCTTGGGTGGGGCCTTGAGCAACCTGCTCCAGTGAGTGGCATCCCTGCCCATGGCGGGGGTTGGAACTGGACGATCCCAAAGTCCTTTCCAACCCCAACCATTGTGGGATCCCATGATTCTCTTCTCTGGGCTTGGACTCTTACAAGAAGTTCTGCTCAGTTTTGATCAGTTCCCCTGATGGACAGAACACCTGCATTGAAATTAGTGACAGAGTTAGGAACCACAGCTGTGCTTCCCAGGACAACCTGGGTGACTTTTGGCCTCCTCAGCATTCAAAGGCGTGATGGGAAAATCCAGAGGCTGCGTGGTTTCAACACAAGGTCACAGAACCAAAAGGAGCAGGATGGGGATTCCCCCTTTAAAGGTGCCACTGATTGCTGTGTTTTATGAAAATCCAGTGACCACAGGGCTTTGCCATGAGAAGTGTTCTCTGCTGGCTGCGACCTTGCCCAGGCTCCTCCTCATCCACAGCTCCACCCCAGCCAGCGCTGGGACCTGGATGAATCACACTCTGCTTTCTACTAAAAGGTCGTAATAGAGGCCGGTTCCCTCCAAATAAAACAAGAGCTCAAACTAACAGCAAACACATTTCTGTAATCTCTGTTATCGGGGGAAAAAAGTGAAGGAGATTGTACAGAAATCTCTCTCAGCAAACAGGCCTCAATGGAAAACAAAAAACAACAAAAAAAGAGGAAATTGTACACATTTGCTTTATGCCACCTAAGTCCACACAAGAAAAGGTTATCTCCAGTGTAACCAAGCTGTGCTGCTAAGCAATGTATCAGAAAGCACATAAACAGATATCAAATTGTGATAAGCACAGTTAGACTAATTAGGTTGAAGTTGCCCTCCTCTTAAGAGCTGGCCCTGGCCCTTCTTCTCAAAAGATTCTTTGTTTCTAAGATTCCAGTTATGTCAGAAATACTCAGTGTAGATTTCAGCAGTCAAATAAGCCTTTCACATTAGGAATATAACAGGCTCAGGCACCACAAGTTAAAACAAAAAGCTTTAATAAGTTCTAAATGCATTAAAGGGAAAGTTGAATTTGATTTTCCATTACTTTTGGGGGGGGGGGGTGTCCATTTAATTTTCCATGCCTTTGTATAGTAATTTCTTCTGAAGAACACCCAAGAAACATGAGCTCCTGCTTTCCTAAGCATCGACGTGCTTGGACACAGGTAAGGGCACAGCAACCTGGGAGATCCACAGTTATTCACTTCAGAAATAGCCACAGTCTCACAATTTTCACCTTCCACTGGGCTGACTGAATTCTGCTGATCCCATCAGACAAGGACAAAAATTAAAGATTAATTTCTGAAAAGCATTTGACTAATTAACACGATTGTAAGAGAGAACACAGCCCAGGTTGGTTGTCTCAGGCAAAGCCTGGCTATATTCCAACAGGAAAGCCTTTTTGGAGGCTTCTTCCCCCAGTTTATCACACATCTCCCAGGAACATACCTGAAATCAGCACACATCAGTCACAGCCACAGGATATGCTGAGTTGGGAGGGATCCACAAAGACCATCAGTCCAAACCTCAGCCTTGCACAGGCTCATCCTCAAGAGGATCATCCAAACCCTCCTGCAGCTCTGGCAGCCTTGGGGCTGTGCCCACTGCCCTGGGGAGCCTGTTCAGTGCCAACCACCCTCTGGGGGAAGAACCTTTCCCTGAGATCCACCCTGAGCCTGCCCTGACACAGCTCCAGCCATTCCCTGGGGGCTGTCCCTGGTCCCCCCAGAGCAGAGCTCAGTCCTGCCCCTCCTCTGCCCATGCCCAGGCAGTTGGAACTGCAGTGAGGTCTCCCCTCAGTCTCCTCTGCTCCAGCTGAATGCACCAAGTGCCCTCAGTGTCCTCACATGGCTTCAAACCAAGTCCCTTCCCCATCTTCTTTGCCTCCTTTGGACACTCTCCAATGGGTTTATGTTGTTATGTATGTCCCCCTAAACTGCCCCAGTGTCGAGATGAGGCCGCCCCAGGGCAGAGCAGGGCAGGACAATCCCCTCCCTGATACCCCCAGGACAGGACTGGCACTCCTGGCTGCCAGGGCACTGCTGACTCAGGGCCAACTGGCCAAGTACCAGGACCCCCAAGGCCCTTTCCAGGCACTGCTTTCCTGCCTCTCATTCCCAGTCTGTCCGTACAGCCGGGATTGCTCCATCCCAGGGACAGAATCCAGAACTTTCCCTTGTTGAACTTCCTTTGGTTGGTGATTCCCAGCCCTCTGACCTGTCCAGGTCTCCCTGCAGGCCCTCCCTGCCTTGCAGGGACTCAACAGCTCCTCCCAGTTTTGTATCCAACTTGCTGAGTGTCCCTTCCAGTGCTGTGTCGCAGTCAGTGTTGGAGATGTTGAAGAGCACAGGGCCCAAGGTGGAGCCCTGTGGGACCCCCCCAGTGCCAGCTCACATCTGGTGTCACCCCAGCCACTGCCACTCCCTGTGCTCGAGCCCTCGAAGCACCTTCTATATGAAGTAGCTGAAGGAAGGAGCTGCATAAGAAGGGCTGTAACCCCTCTAATTCCACTTTCTCCAGGCCTCAGGCAGATGGAGGTTTGATTTATGAAGCCGTGGCTCAGAACCTCTTGGAGAACATTTCCCAGGGATGTCACATTCTCAAAGGAGTCCTCGTGTTTTCCATACTTCTGAGTGAAACCTCTCACACCTTTCCCCAGATGAAACCACTCTTTCCCCAGCTGTTACACTTGCAGGCAGGTTGGTTGTATCAGGGAAGAGAGCAGAAAATGGAATCTGAGAAATGTGCAGAGCACATAACATGGTGTCACAGCACAGCAACGATGATCATCACAGGAAGATTCACTTCTCCATTATTTTTGTAAGGCCAAATATTTTCAATTACATTCTAGTTTACCCTGATGAAAAATCGTTAAGCCACAGAATTACACTTAATCTAAGAATTTGACCCAGTAGTTGACACTATCATCCACTAGAAAACATTTAAACCAAAGAACCTTGAGCATCAAGTGAAAAGAACAATTGCACCATCTCAGTTCATTCATTCAGTGCCCAACAAGAGTTTTAACATCTGAAGGAGAAGGATTCAGTCAAGTCAAGGGGATCATACGATCATGATAAACTCTCCTGGTGACTCACAGGGTTTTTCTCCAGGTACTTTTCATAAATATTTACTTTATCAGGGAGTGAAGAGGCAGTGGGAGAAAAGTAAAGAGTGAAGCAACACCTCACTCACCTCAAAAAACCAACATAACTCTCCATGCTCCCGTTTGCACTCGGGTGGGCCATGCTCTAGATAAAGGAGGGGTGACATAGCCTAGAAAACTCCAGGGCTCAAGGACAGGTCAAGTAGAATTAATAATGTTCCACAGTTACAACAAAAAATATCGAGCTTGAGCTTCCAGGATGACACCAGAAAGAATTTCAGTAGTTTTACTCTTGGTAGACAGTGAGGAGCAAAAAAACCACATGAAAATGTAAGTGTGTGCCAGAATGAAACACTAAGTTGAGGAAAGGGTGAAAACTGCAACAACCTTGGGAGTTTGCTGCACAGAGGCACAAGAATTTTACTATGGAAACAGAGTGCCTTGAGCAGAGCTTGGAAGAGGAGACAATCTTTTATTGGAAAAACACCAGTCAAAGCCCCTTTCCCTGCCCTTTTTCATGGCCATTCTGCTGGCCTCATTAGCTCTGTAAGCCAAGCTTCATGTCAAGTGCTCGAGCTGGGCATTCACCATACAAACTGCTCAAGCAATCAGAAGCTGATGGAAGATGTGCAGATTCAGGGCTCCAAGGGTGACACGTTGCTGCAATGGCCACGATGGCTCTGGCTGTTGGAAGATGGACAAAGCTGCTTCCCACAGTTGCTACGACACTGCAGGGATGAGGATTGTACAGCTCAGGTTCTCCTGCCTTTCTTGAGAACAGCTCCATTAATGGAATTTCCACAGGCTATGAGAGGATTCTGTGACAAATAAAGTAAGACTTTCACAGGTATCTGGGGTCTTGGAGGCTAAGAACATACCTGACTCCATCCACAAATCAGCCCCATAAATGCTTTCCCTTGGTAGTTTATTCCTTTCATTCACCATATCTGGCACCTCAAGCCAACTGCAAAGGGGATGTGAACCAGATGAGAAGCAGAGCCAGAACTGCTCCACCTCCTCGGCACTCAGGGAGTCCGTGCCAGGCATCAGTTCCTGACTGAATGAGCTCAGAAAGGACAGTCAACAAGAGAACTCAGGAATTTCTGTGACTTAGAACCAGCTCAATGATCTCCAGGGACTGATTTAGCGTTTTTAACACAGCAAGATCACCATCTGCTGTGATTTGAATGTGGTTTTGGTTATAGGTACGACGTCAGGCCGAGTCCTTTGCCACAAAGGCACAAAGTGGTATTACAAGTCTACTGAGAGTCTGTTCTCTGGTGCTGATCATTCTTTTTTTTCCATTTAAAAGTCACTGTTAAATACCTGGGACTTACCAGGACCAGTTTTCTTTCATCTCCCTGTACGCAATGAATTCAATCAGGCTGCTATCAAAGCCTCCTCTTATCAGAGCACTTCCCCAGGAAACCCGTCATGATTCTGTGAACACAGGGCACCTGCCAGTAAGGCAAACCCATTTTCACATTCAACTTTGGGGTATTATGTATAAAAACTAAGAGTACACATCAATTAGCAGCAGAGCTTGCCTGGCCTACCATCAAAATGAAGTTCACTGTAAGTAGATAAATCACTTTCTCATGGAACTCTTAAGGCTGGACAGTTTAAATGGGTTTGAGTCTTTCTTGGCACCAAGTGAACTTGTAGTGATTTGTGCAGGGATCACAAAGAGAAAATGCCAGAGGGGTGGGGACTGCAGGGGTGAAATGTCCCTTCTGGCAGGGATGTCACTCCATCTGCCTACTTAAAAATGAAAGAGGGAAGTGCTCTGTCTCAGGGGTGACACACACATGTGGACTGTCCAAAGGACAATATTCTCTCCTTCACAGATCAGAGACAAGTCAACAGTCTCAGCAAGGTCCAGAAAGTGAGGGCACAGCTGTGCTGAGAGTGCAGGAGAACCATGAGAGACTCCACATGCAGGACGGTGGTGTCGGGGTGTTTACAGTGGCTGGAACTGTGCAGGATAAATTCCCACATGTTAGTGTTAAACATTCTGAGTCACACTTGGATCTTTCTCATCAAAATTCTCCTCTGAAGGAGACAAAATCTGGGACTGATTTAATATTCAAGGGATTGTCTCCAAGAGAATAATTGTAAAGAATCGTTATCACAAAAGAATTTATCTTCAGAACAATATTGAATCTCTCCAAAAGAGACCAGCAGTAGTTTGGACAATAACAAGTATGTGTGTCACTGAAACTCTGACTTTATAAAGGGGATAGAAATATTTAATGTCACGTTTCTCTGAAGAGAAAGGTTCATGCCTACCCTTAGATTATTAGCTCTGTATTTGGAGGATGAAATCTCTGTGAGGATGCTCAGGTGCCATTGCTGCTGACACAGAGCTGCAGTGGGCACCCACATTCCAGCTCTTCCCAGTAGGTGCACATGGACACTTCATGGATCTGCTCCAAATCAAAAGGTCGAGGTGAAAAGCTCGCTCTTTCCAAGAAATTATTTCAGAACACCTTTTTCCAAGGAGTTTATGGCACTGGGGCTGGGCAAGTTTAGAGCCTGTTGGTTCAGGGCAATGTCTGTGCATTGATGATCTCATGGAAACTCCTTTAAACAAAACTCTCCTGCATATTTAAATCCTCTTCAGCCAGGTCCCCCTGCAGAAAAGTGCTGATCCTCTGTGCAAAATTAAATGGAAGTAAAAATTAGTTAAAGACAGTAAATAACTTGATGCAAGATAAGCAGTGCAATGTTAAAATGTTGTGAATTTATACATTCATTTCAGATTGTGATTGCTGCTCTTCTTGGAGTTGTCCTGGCTCCAGCTCTTGCCAACAAGGTAAGGACAGAGCTACACGCAGCTCTTCACTTCTGCCACTAGAATTAGTGGCCTTTAGCTATTCCCTCTGACAGTTCTGAGAGTGAAGCTGCATTTTTAAGTGTGATGCTTAGAAAAAAATTCTATTTTTATTATTATTACATGCCAAGGGAAATATTAATATGCTTGATACATCAAGGGAAAAAACCAGTTACCACGTATGAAATCAGGAAAGTCTGTCCTGAGATGAACAAAAGTACTGCAAGGAGTGGTGAGAAATGAATATCAGTATGAATGATCTGACCACAAAATCCAGGGGAATACTGTAAGTAACCTGGTGTCTGCAAACTCCTAGTAGGGAAAGAACAACAAGGAATTATTTTACTTGTTTAGAAACTAAGGGGCTTCCAAGTCTTCATTCTGAGGCCAGAAATTACCTCCTCTTTAAAATCATCTCCAAGAGCAACAATTTCACAAAACACGGCATACTAGAGCTATTGTTTATTGAGTGAAACACTCCTGGGAATCCCCAAAGGCACATCCTTACGTCCTTTAATCTCTCCCAAAAACCAGAACACTGACAATGGGCACCACAGTGAAAACTCAAACCGCTCTGACAGCGGCATCAGCACCGACCCAAAGGAGGGCTCTGAGGGCTGGAAAACTGTCTGGGACTTCAAGACTGTAAGTAGCTGCCAGTATGGCTCAAAACAAGTGACAAGAGACAGAAGGTTTCTGAAAAACACCAAAGCTTCAACAAAACTTCACCAGATTTTAGGGCAGATTCTTAAAAATGTGCCCCTGCAGCCACGGGACTGGTTCTGCTGTACTGGGAGCTGCTCTGAGCTCTTCAGCAGCAAATTCCTTCACCTGCCTTAAGCAGGAGAACACATCATACACGTGGCACTACTGGAGGAGGCAATTTACCTTTCACCAAAGTCCCTCCACAGCCTCCATGACACATTTACCTAAACAATATAATTGAAAGGACCAATATTTTTCTTTCCCCATGACTGTTTGCACTGCACAAAGCCTTTGTTTTAACCAGTGCCTCTCTCTAGCAATCCACTTCTCTTTCCCTGTTTGCAACAAAAAAGGGGGTTTGTGTTTAATTTTAACAGGGCTACGTTGCAACCAAAGTGTTTTCAAAGAACACCTGCATCATTGCTTCAACGAGCAGGAGGTTTTGGCTTGGCAAACAGTTTCCTACACCACCTCCTGGAGATACGGTAGGAGGGTGGATGAAAGTGGCGTGAAAGGCCAATCAACTGCCTGTTCCTATGTGCAAAGGAGAAAAGGCCCCAAGAGCTGAAGAGAACTTTCTTGGCTTTATAGCTGAATCTCTCAAAGTCCCTGCAAAAGTTGCATCACCCATGAACAACCCCCATTCCTGTCTAGCCTGGCCTTGAACGCTTCCAGGGATGGGGCAGCCACAGCTTCTCTGTTTGAGGTTGTGCTGTAGCCAGGGCTCACCACTCTCACAGGGAAGAATTTCTCCCCAATATCCCATCTAACCCTGCCCTCTGGCAGTGGGAAGCCATTCCCCCTTGTCCTGGCACTCCAGGTCCTTGTAAATGGTCTCCTTCCATGTTTCTTGTGGGCTCCCTTCAGGCACTGGAGAGCCACAACCAGGTCAACCCAGAGCCTTCTCTTCTCCAGGCTGATCAATCCCAACTCTCCCAGCCTTCCCTCACAGCAGGAGCTGCTCCATCCCTCTGATCATCTTGTGGCCCCCTCTGGACAGAACCATCCCCCACATGCTGCCCACGCTGTGGGATCAACCCAGGGCACGGGAGGTCTCGGGGCTGGGATGGGGCAGCCCCAGCCTCTCACCCAGCAGCACCCCCACAAGTCCTTCTCCCCAGGGCTGCTCTCCATCCCTTCATCCCCAGGCTCTGAGCTCCATCCTTGGTTTTCCTAAATGCTGTTTTCTGGGTTTGTCTCTTTGGTGCTCAGGGCTCTCAGCCTCACCCGCTGCCATCCAGAGAGAATCGCTTCCTCATCTCCAGGCACAGACTCCAGAGCTTGAGCCCCTATGGAAAACGCATCCAAGCTCTGTGCAGAGGAATCCCCTCTTACCTGGCTTACCCAGCTCCTGGTGAGTCTGCTCCTGACAGCCTTTGTGTTCCAAAACGAAGGCAGGTTAATGAGATTACAAATGATTCAAGCAAAGGTGAGCAAGTCAATTATTGAAATCCTGTGGTTTTCAATAACTTTTTATCCATCAGTGAATATGAACATAAGGAGATGCAGCAGGTCTGTCACTCTTCTGCATACAACCTGGAGAACAGCTTTTTTTCAGGAAGGTTCTGGGCTCTTGCTCTTGACATAATCAGGATTTTTTAGTTGGAACTAGTTGGAAGCATTTCAGCTACTTTCTTATTTTCTCAGTGGAAATCTAATCACTTTTCCTTTTTCTTTCAGGATCAAACTTCTTAAGAGGATCAAACTTCTCAGGATCAAACTTCTTAGAACGACGTGTTTCATGATTGTCAGAATTAACGAACTGCCCATTTATTACTGTGATTTTTCCTGACAAAGTTTGAGGAAGAAAATTCATAGAACTGTGTACCCATAAGAAAGATTTTTCTCCTTGATAATCTTCTCTTGATCATGCTTGCAATCATTCATCTGTCTCTGTCCTGCTCTGTATGGATGCTGTTGGGTCTCAGTAAAATTTATCATCAACCTATGTTGGTCTATGCTGTGTTTTTACTAACCCTTTAAATTAAATACAAAACAATTCCAAAGACAAGCTGATAAACGAATGTTCTTGCAAAATCCCAATTTTGGCATTTAAACCTCATCCTGTACAATTTCCCAGGGAGATTTCACATGCTGCCTTGAGCAATTATTCATCACTACTAGGAGCAAATGGTAAAATAAGCAGTGTTGTGCAATATGGCCAGTTGCAAATACACAGATACACTATTGCTCTCTGATTAACCCAGAAATCAAGAAGCAAATGACAGAATTAAGAAGAGTATTAAATGCAGTCTGCAGTTGAAAACAGAAGTTATTTAAGAATGTTTCATAAAGGTTTCACACAGCAAGCAAAGAAGCATCCCCTAACCAGCTGAAAGTTGAAAATTTGAAAAAGTCAAATTAGGCCAAAATAAGACAAAAGGGTTGGGCAGAGTTCCTTCATCTAAAACATCAGTAAGTCGCTCTCTGTGGGAAACAGCAGATCTTCACCTTCCCTCCTTGCTTAGGGGCCCTTTCCTTGGCCTTTAATGGGAGTTACTCCAAGAGACACTTCACCCACTCCGAGAGTTTCTCTAAAGAAAGGACACAGCAATGTGGTCTGTTCAGGAAAAGGCTTTTGGGGTCTCCAAGGGTCCACTGACATTAAAACCAAAGCAAAGCTGCACCCAAGAATATTTTAACACTTCCAAGGAAAAGCAACTGTGAGGTTGCAGCATTTAAACAAAAGTTCCTGTCTGACTTGCCTGGAGTTTCTGGAGAGAATCTGCTGTCCTTTCCCAACTCTACACTGCATTTTCCCTGAGATCACACAGGCACAGCCCTCTTCCCTTATCTTGCTGTGAGTCACTGGAACGTGTCTCTGGGGGCCACCAATCCCCTGAAGACCATGGGCCAGACTGGCACGGATGATGATTTCAAGTGCCCTGAGGCTGCGGGGTCTGACCTGAGCAGGGTCTGTGGTGCAGCATCTCGTGCCAAGAGCCTGGCAGCCTCACAGGCAAACAGGGATACCCTCAGCCAGGCTCCAAGCAGAGCCTCCCTGCTCTCCATGCAGGGACTAACAGGGCACAGGTGCTTCTGGAAGGGACAGTGCCTTCTCCAACAGCATCTCGCTTCAAGCCAGAATTCCAACAGGAGAGCACAGCATGGCAGCAGGGCCCCACTGTTCACAAAACTGCTTTAGCTTCATGCACTTAGGGGGAAAATCAACAGTTCTAAATTAGTAAAGCTGAAAAGGCATAAATGTGCCAGGGCTGCTCTGCCAAGTCCACTGAGGCACAGATGCCCCAGCCCCCACCGCTGTATTTTACTGGGTGCCATGGTTACCTGATAACACACAGTACATTTTGGAAGGTGCAAAGTCTTTTACTCATTCTGTCTAATGCAAATCTTTTTATGTTCTTGTTTAAACCCTAGGATATCTCCGGTCTTAAGTGTAAAGTGAATTTTCAAAAGTAATTAGTATGTGTCAGAAAAATACTAAAAACTTATTTAATTTTTCACTGCAAATGGATTCCTGTCAGATGATTATCAGACTCCAGCAGGTCAAAATGTGCAAAAGTACAGTCCCTGTATTTATCAAGTAGTTACAGCAGGAAATAATTTCCAGTGACAAGTGACAGGGAAACAAATGACAAAATAATTTTATTGCCACATTCAGCCCTTCCACCGTGAATTCCGAAAACATATATAAGGTAGGAGGTTCACATCGCTCTTTCTACCTGCAGGAGCATCAGCTCTGCAGTCAGGATGAAGCTCCCTGTGAGTACACAAGTTTTTCTTCCTTATAAACTAAATTTTCTCTCTGAAGTGCCTCTGCCTGCCCAGAGCACAGAGGTTTCTCTGGGGACATTTTGCTCCTCCAGAGTGAGCAGCTCAGCCCTCATTAGCTGAACCAGCTGACGAGGTAAGGATTTTCCCCACAGCTGGGCTCTCCATTAAGCAGAATACACAAAACCTAAGCCATGGCCATTTTTGCCAATGCCTTTGCAAAGCTGGAGCACTGCACTGATGGATCAACCACTCCCCTGTAATGGTAAAGCACAAGAAATGGAAAAGCGTTCTCCTCACTCTTGCAAAATACCTGTGTGTGCCTGCACAGGTCTCAGAAGCAGCTTGAGGTTCAGCTCTTGAAACAGCGACTGGGAAACCTGTCCAGTTTGCAGCACTCGGTGACTCCTTTAGGGCACTGTTGCAATGCCAGGATGGAAGCAAAAGAGGATCCAAGGAGGACACTTCAACAGCAGATTAGGAAAAGGGCACAGAGATTCTCATGACTGGATTCATCAGCCAGACCTGCAGTTACACTTTTGTATTTGATTTGCCTTTCAGATTTTGACTGCAGTCCTTCTTGGACTCGTCCTGACTCCAGCCCTTGGTGAATATGTGAGTACAGTGACCAATTCCCACAGGCACAGCTGCTCTTTCTATATCCCCTGCTTTGGGAGATCTCCCTTATCCTTTCACCACTCCTTGGGCAGATAGAAATTGAAATCTCCTCTCAGACATGAAACCCTTAAGGCACCACATACCAGCTGTAAGATGCAGCAAGGATTCACTGATGGCAGGAAAAGAATTCTTACGGCTACGGCCCAACACCACAGCCTTGATCCTTTGTCCTTAAGAAGATCCTGAGGGCTCTGCTGGCACTCCCTGCGGGAAACACTTGTTCTACTCTACCACGGATTTCTGTAAAGATGTGGGGAGGTCACTCCCAGATTCGCAATGTAAAAGTGTGTACCTTTATTTTCTAGTACCAGGAGACAGATGGAAAACAGGAAATCATCTTTGGTGGAGACACTCAAATCTCTATCACTGGCGTTGCACAAACAGTGAAGATCAACAGTCAGAACCGTGTGGCAATTATCCAGCAAATGACCAAAGATTTGTCATGGAAAACCATCTGGAACTACAACACGGTGAGTGGCAGGGAGCGTGCTTGTGCGGGCACTGTGCCGGGAGGCTGCCTCCTGCTCCAGATGACCAAGGCACGGGGCTTCTTGCTTTCTTCTCAACCTTTCCAATCAACCCTCAGGGGCAGAAACCATCTACATTCCTCACCTCTTCAATCCACACCTTCTCCCAGCTTTTCCCAGTTGCAAAACACAACTGCCAGTGCTCAATACCTTTCTCTTTACAGGGCGTCATTGCAACCAAAGTGACGCAACAGAACACCTGCTACATTTCCGTCATGAACAGAACTGAGATGCCCAGCTTTGACAATCTGGCCAGACTGGCTAGAGAGAGCAGGGTAAGAGTCCAAAAGAGCTGCAGTTTCTTGACCTTGGAGCTCACAGGGCCTTTTCTTAACTGGGCTTTTTCCTGCTGCAGAGGACCAGCTTGTCACTCGTGGCACGACTCTCTTGCCCTCAACTGCAGTGCGGCTTGGGAATTTGCACGAGGGATGCTTTGTCCCAAGGAAAGAGGGGGGTCACCTTCCCTCTGCCAGCTGCGCTTTCTCTCAGCAACCTGAGCTCTGCGCTTTGCTGAGAAACCCTTTCTCTCAGCAGCTCTTCAAGGCCACCAATGCTTTTGGCGTGGCAGTCCTTCCAAGGCCTTCAGAGTCATTGCAATACCAACCCGCCTTTGTCAGCTCAGACCTTTGCCTTGCACCTGCCATTGTCCACACTGCCTTTGCTGACAGGCACATGCAGGGCCTTGGGCCAGGCAACAAAGCCTTCGAGTAGGAAAACTTCTCCTGCCAGGCCTCCAGCCTGAGCAGCTCTGGGAGGGGAGAGCACAGGGACGCAGCAAATGCTTTGCTGGCACGTCTGCCTTAACACACCGGCTGCACTCCTCGGCTCCTGCTCCGCGCTTGCCTTGCGCTGCCACTTCTCCTTAGGCTCCCTGCACCTCCACCGCCTTCCCAAGGCCTGCCTTCCCAGCTGTCTTCAAGGCTGCCCACTGCTCCCTCGGGCCCCAGGGGATTCAAAGGCACCACTAAAGGCACCTGCCACTCACACCCCAAGCACCGGCTCGTCACTGCACGACTCGCCATGTGCCTGGCATAAAATACAAACCAGAATTGATCTTGCTAAATGCTGTCCTTTGATGTCCAGAACCAGGTCGGATTTGGAATACCTACAAGGAAGATCACCTTTGTCACCAGTGGATTGGTCAACAACCTCAACTCCTACGGAGTAGACATCGTGTCCATGTGCAGCGGACTCACCACCTACATGACCTATGAAGTTCAGGGTGAGTGCAAGCAAATGAATTCTCTCTCCCATTGGCCTGGCAATTTCTTTCCCTTGGCCAATGACTACTGCACCTCTGCTCTTCTGCCAACTCAAGACGGACAGAAACCAACAGCTTAGCTTAGGCAGAAAGGCTTTGCCATCTCTGCAGGTCACAACTGGACTGGCCCTGAGTCCCAGCCTCCAGAACTGACCCGGACCAAACCCTTCCACCTCCCTTCCAGGAGGCTGAAGGAGGCTTAAGTTTGGGCCCTGAATTTTGGCCCACCTTGACCTCCTTGGCAATGTCCTCGCAAAGACAAGGGCTCAGCTTAAGAACCCCTGTCCTTCCCTTCCCACCTTGCTCACCACTTCACCCAGGAAACCACCAAAGCCTTGTGTGCTTCACAGCACCAAGACAAGTGCCTTCCTTCCCTGGGCCTTGTTCCCGGGCCAAGGATGCCATTGCCCACCACTTTAAGGACCTGCACTGGGCAGGCTTCTCGCAGGAGCTCCCAGCCCCACGGGGCCCAGCAACTGGCACCAGCCTCAGCCTGGAGTGCCCAGACCCCTGCCCTCCCAGCAGTCAGTGGAACAGTGCTCCGAGTGCTGCACGGCAACACCCTCAGCGTGCTCCAGAGCCCCTCTCTGGGGCCACCCTTGCTGAGCCACAGAGCCGCTGCTCTTTGGCCACTCCAAAGGAATCTTGCCCTCCCACATCTCCAACACTCCTCACACACCAAAGGACTCAGAACCTCCATCGCTCCCACCAACAACCACCCCCTCTTGGGCAGCTGCAGCCAAGGGCACAGGCCTCACCTCATGGCCTTTGGCTTTCTCTCTGCTTGCTTTTCCAGGATCCCAACTCAATCTGGGACCATGCGTCACCCTCAATGTCCTGAGAGTCGTGCAGCTGAACTACTGCAATGGCAATGGCCAGATTGACCAGGTGGGAAACCCTTACCCTTCTCCAACCCAGCGCGGGGCTGCCCAAAGACAACCCCCATGCCCTTCTTCCCTGCCATCTCCTCTTTGGAGAGCTTTCTTCTTGGGGGTGGAGACACTGAAACACAGCAGGCCTTGATCCTTTGTCCTTGGCAAGATCCTCAGGGCGCTGCTGGCACTCCATGCGGGCAGCACTTCTTCTCTTCTACCAGGGGGGATCTGGGCAGGTCACTGACTTCCTTCAAGGGCTAAAGGCTTCCTTCTTTCTCTTGGCGTTTTAGCCTTCCCAGGATCAGGGTCAGGATGACAACCAGGAAGTCATCATTGGTGGCCAGTCCCAAATTCTGACCATCCACAAGCAATGGCGTGTGGCAGTTATCACCCAAACAACCTCCACTGGCTCTTGGAAAACCATCTGGAACTACAACACGGTGAGTGGCAGGGAGCGTGCTTGTGCGGGCACTGTGCCGGGAGGCTGCCTCCTGCTCCAGATGACCAAGGCACGGGGCTTCTTGCTTTCTTCTCAACCTTTCCAGTCCACCCGCGGGGGTAGAAGCCATCTACATTCCTCACCTCTTCAATCCACACCTTCTCCCAGCTTTTCCCAGTTGCAAAACACAACTGCCAGTGCTCAATACCTTTGTCTTTACAGGGCGTTATTGCAACCAAAGTGACGCAACAGAACACCTGCTACATTTCCGTCATGAACAGAACTGAGATGCCCAGCTTTGACAATCTGGCCAGACTGGCTAGAGAGAGCAGGGTAAGAGTCCAAAAGAGCTGCAGTTTCTTGACCTTGGAGCCCACAGGGCCTTTTCTTAACTGGGCTTTTTCCTGCTGCAGAGGACCAGCTTGTCACACGTGGTACGACTCTCTTGCCCTCAAGTGCAGTGCAGCTTGGGAATTTGCACGAGGGATGCTTTGTCCCAAGGAAAGAGGGGGGTCACCTTCCCTCTGCCAGCTGCGCTTTCTCTCAGCAACCTGAGCTCTGCGCTTTGCTGAGAAACCCTTTCTCTCAGCAGCTCTTCAAGGCCACCCATTCTTTTGGCGTGGCAGTCCTTCCAAGGCCTTCAGAGTCATTGCAATACCAACCCGCCTTTGTCAGCTCAGACCTTTGCCTTGCACCTGCCATTGTCCACACTGCCTTTGCTGACAGGCACATGCAGGGCCTTGGGCCAGGCAACAAAGCCTTCGAGTAGGAAAACTTCTCCTGCCAGGCCTCCAGCCTGAGCAGCTCTGGGAGGGGAGAGCACAGGGACGCAGCAAATGCTTTGCTGGCACGTCTGCCTTAACACACCGGCTGCACTCCTCGGCTCCTGCTCCGCGCTTGCCTTGCGCTGCCACTTCTCCTTAGGCTCCCTGCACCTCCACCGCCTTCCCAAGGCCTGCCTTCCGAGCTGTCTTCAAGGCTGCCCACTGCTCCCTCGGGCCCCAGGGGATTCAAAGGCACCACTAAAGGCACCTGCCACTCACACCCCAAGCACCGGCTCGTCACTGCACGACTCGCCACGTGCCTGGCATGAAACGCGTCCCGGCACCCATCTTGCTGAATGCTGTCCTTTGATGTCCAGAACCAGGTCGGTCTTGGAAGATTTACAAGGAAGATCACCTTTGTCACCAGTGGATTGGTCAACAACCTCAACTCCTACGGAGTAGACATCGTGTCCATGTGCAGCGGACTCACCACCTACATGACCTATGAAGTTCAGGGTGAGTGCAAGCAAATGAATTCTCTCTCCCATTGGCCTGGCAATTTCTTTCCCTTGGCCAATGACTACTGCACCTCTGCTCTTCTGCCAACTCAAGACGGACAGAAACCAACAGCTTAGCTTAGGCAGAAAGGCTTTGCCATCTCTGCAGGTCACAACTGGACCGGCCCTGAGTCCCAGCCTCCAGAACTGACCCGGACCAAACCCTTCCACCTCCCTTCCAGGAGGCTGAAGGAGGCTTAAGTTTGGGCCCTGAATTTTGGCCCACCTTGACCTCCTTGGCAATATCCTCGCAAAGACAAGGGCTCAGATTAACAACCCCTGTCCTTCCCTTCCCACCTTGCTCACCAGTTCACCCAGGAAACCACTTGGTGCTTCACAGCACCAAGACAAGTGCCTTCCTTCCCTGGGCCTTGTTCCTGGGCCAAGGATGCCATTGCCCACCACTTTAAGGACCTGCACTGGGCAGGCTTCTCGCAGGAGCTCCCAGCCCCACGGGGCCCAGCAACTGGCACCAGCCTCAGCCTGGAGTGCCCAGACCCCTGCCCTCCCAGCAGTCAGTGGAACAGTGCTCCGAGTGCTGCACGGCAACACCCTCAGCGTGCTCCAGAGCCCCTCTCTGGGGCCACCCTTGCTGAGCCACAGAGCCGCTGCTCTTTGGCCACTCCAAAGGAATCTTGCCCTCCCACATCTCCAACACTCCTCACACACCAAAGGACTCAGAACCTCCATCGCTCCCACCAACAACCACCCCCTCTTGGGCAGCGGCAGCCAAGGGCGCAGGCCTCACCTCATGGCCTTTGGCTTTCTCTCTGCTTGCTTTTCCAGGATCCCAACTCAATCTGGGACCATGCGTCACCCTCAATGTCCTGAGAGTCGTGCAGCTGAACTACTGCAATGGCAATGGCCAGATTGTCCAGGTGGGAAACCCTTACCCTTCTCTAACACAGCACAGGGGCTGCCCAAAGCCAACCCCCATTCCCTTCTTCCCTGCCATCTCCTCTTCGGAGAGCTTCCTTCTTGGGGGTGGAGACACTGAAACACAGCAGGCCTTGATCCTTTGTCCTTGGCAAGATCCTCAGGGCGCTGCTGGCACTCCATGCATGCAGCTCTTCTCTTCTACCAGGGGGGATCTGGGCAGGTCACCGACTTCCTTCAAGGGCTAAAGGCTTCCTTCTTTCTCTTGGCGTTTTAGCCTTCCCAGGATCAGGGTCAGGGTGACAGCCAGGAAGTCATCATTGGTGGCCAGTCCCAAATTTTGACCATCCACAAGCAATGGCGTGTGGCAGTTATCACCCAAACAACCTCCACTGGCTCCTGGAAAACCATCTGGAACTACAACACGGTGAGTGGCAGGGAGCGTGCTTGTGCGGGCACTGTGCCAGGAGGCTGCCTCCTGCTCCAGATGACCAAGGCACAGGGCTTCTTGCTTTCTTCTCAACCTTTCCAGTCCAGGAATTGGGGCAGGAACTATTGGTATTCCTTGCTGATTTCAGTCCAGGCTTTCTCCCAGCTTTTCCGAGTGAGAAAAGTGAATTGACAGTGCTCAATACCTTTGTCTTTACAGGGCGTCATTGCAACCAAAGTGACGCAACAGAACACCTGCTACATTTCCGTCATGAACAGAACTGAGATGCCCAGCTTTAACAATCTGGCCAGACTGGCTAGAGAGAGCAGGGTAAGAGTCCAAAAGAGCTGCAGTTTCTTGACCTTGGAGCCCACAGGGCCTTTTCTTAACTGGGCTTTTTCCTGCTGCAGAGGACCAGCTTGTCACACGTGGCACGACTCTCTTGCCCTCAACTGCAGTGCAGCTTGGGAATTTGCACGAGGGATGCTTTGTCCCAAGGAAAGAGGGGGGTCACCTTCCCTCTGCCAGCTGCGCTTTCTCTCAGCAACCTGAGCTCTGCGCTTTGCTGAGAAACCCTTTCTCTCAGCAGCTCTTCAAGGCCACCAATGCTTTTGGCGTGGCAGTCCTTCCAAGGCCTTCAGAGTCATTGCAATACCAACCCACCTTTGTCAGCTCAGACCTTTGCCTTGCAGCTGCCATTGTCCACACTCTCTTTCCCTTTGGGGAGGGAGAGGGATCTGTGCCATGGCAAAGGCACCACTAAAGGCACCTGCCACTCACACCCCAAGCACCGGCTCGTCACTGCACGACTCGCCATGTGCCTGGCATGAAACGCATCCCGGCACCCATCTTGCTGAATGCTGTCCTTTGATATCCAGAACCAGGTCGGTCTTGGAAGACCTACAAAGAAGATCACCTTTGTGACCAAGGGATTGGTCAGCAACCTCCAGTCTTACGGAGCAGACATCTTCTCTATGTGCAGCGGACTCACCACCTACATGACTTATGAAGTTCAGAGTGAGTGCAAGCAAATGAATTCTATCTCTCTCTGACCTGGCATTTTTCTTCCCTTGGGGAATGACAACTGCAACTGTGCTCTTCTTCAGCCTCAGGACAGATATGAAGGAAATGCTTTGGCTTAGGCAGAAAGGCATCTCTGCAGATCATGACTGGACCAGGCTTGCGTCCCAGCCTCCAGAACTGATCCGGTCCAAACCCTTCTAACTCCCTTCCATACTCCTGGAAAAGCTGCAGCCCATGGCTTGGACAGGGGCACTCTCTTCTGGGTTAAGAACTGGCTGGAGGGCCGGGCCCAGAGAGTGCTTCTGAACGGGGCTGCATGCAGTTGGTGGCCGGTCACCAGTGGTGTCCCCAGGGGTCAGTGCTGGGCCCAGTCCTGTGTAACATCTTTACGGATGATTTAGATGAGGGGATTGAGTCCATCAGTAGCAAATTTGCAGAGGACTCCAAGTTGGGAGGGAGTGTTGACCTGCTAGAAAGCAGGAGGGCTCTGCAGAGGGACCTGGACAGGCTGGAGAGTTGGGCTGATTCCAATGGGATGAGGTTTAACCAGGACAAGTGCCAGCTCCTAAACTTTGGCCACAGCAACACCCTAGGACGTTATAGGCTGGGCACGGAGTGGCTGGAGAGCAGCCAGGCAGAAAGGGATCTGGGGGTGCTGATTGACAGGAGGCTGAACATGAGCCAGAGTGTGCCCAGGTGGCCAAGAAGGCCAATGGCATCCTGGCCTGCATCAGGAACAGTGTGGCCAGCAGGAGCAGGGAAGTGATCCTTCCCCTGTACTCAGCACTGGTGAGGCCACACCTTGAGTATTGTGTTCAGTTCTGGACCCCTCCGTTTGGGAAAGACCTTGAGGTGCTGGAGCAGGTGCAGAGAAGAGCAACAAGCCTGGGGAAGGGACCGGAGCACAGCTGCTGTGAGGAGAGGCTGAGGGAGCTGGGGTTGTTTAGTCTGGAGAAAAGAAGGCTCAGGGATGACCTCACCACACTCTATCACTCCCTGAGAGGAGGTTGTAGCCTGGTGGGGGTTGGTCCCTTCTCCCAGGCAATCAGCAGGAGGACAAGAGGGCACGGGCTTAAGCTCCGCCATGGGAGGTTTAGGTTGCACATTAGAAAGAAGTTCTTTACAGAGAGGGTGATCAGGCATTGGAATGGCCTGCCCAGAGAGGTGGTGGATTCATCATCCCTGGAGGTTTTTAAGATGAGGCTGGATGTGGCACTGAGTGCCAAGATCTCGTAATCACAGTGGGGTTGGATCAAGGGTTGGACTTAATGATCTCGGAGGTCTCTTCCAACCCAATTAATTCTATGATTCTGTGATTCCGGGAAGCTGAAAAGCTTAAGTTGAGCCCCAACTTTTGACCTCCTCTGCAATGCCTTCAAAAAGACAAGGGCTCAGCTTAAGAACCCCTGTCCTTCCCTTCCCACCTTGCTCACCAGTTCACCCAGGAAACCACCAAAGCCTTGTGTGCTTCACAGCACCAAGACAAGTGCCTTCCTTCCCCGGGCCTTGTTCCCGGGCCAAGGATGCCATTGCCCACCACTTTAAGGACCTGCACTGGGCAGGCTTCTCGCAGGAGCTCCCAGCCCCACGGGGCCCAGCAACTGGCACCAGCCTCAGCCTGGAGTGCCCAGACCCCTGCCCTCCCAGCAGTCAGTGGAACAGTGCTCCGAGTGCTGCACGGCAACACCCTCAGCGTGCTCCAGAGCCCCTCTCTGGGGCCACCCTTGCTGAGCCACAGAGCCGCTGCTCTTTGGCCACTCCAAAGGAATCTTGCCCTCCCACATCTCCAACACTCCTCACACACCAAAGGACTCAGAACCTCCATCGCTCCCACCAACAACCACCCCCTCTTGGGCAGCTGCAGCCAAGGGCACAGGCCTCACCTCATGGCCTTTGGCTTTCTCTCTGCTTGCTTTTCCAGGATCCCAACTCAATCTGGGACCATGCGTCACCCTCAATGTCCTGAGAGTCGTGCAGCTGAACTACTGCAATGGCAATGGCCAGATTGACCAGGTGGGAAACCCTTACCCTTCTCCAACCCAGCGCGGGGCTGCCCAAAGACAACCCCCATGCCCTTCTTCCCTGCCATCTCCTCTTTGGAGAGCTTTCTTCTTGGGGGTGGAGACACTGAAACACAGCAGGCCTTGATCCTTTGTCCTTGGCAAGATCCTCAGGGCGCTGCTGGCACTCCATGCGGGCAGCACTTCTTCTCTTCTACCAGGGGGGATCTGGGCAGGTCACCGACTTCCTTCAAGGGCTAAAGGCTTCCTTCTTTCTCTTGGCGTTTTAGCCTTCCCAGGATCAGGGTCAGGGTGACAACCAGGAAGTCATCATTGGTGGCCAGTCCCAAATTCTGACCATCCACAAGCAATGGCGTGTGGCAGTTATCACCCAAACAACCTCCACTGGCTCCTGGAAAACCATCTGGAACTACAACACGGTGAGTGGCAGGGAGCGTGCTTGTGCGGGCACTGTGCCGGGAGGCTGCCTCCTGCTACAGCTGACCAAGTCATGGGGCTCATTTCTTTCTTCTCAACCTTTCCAGTCCACCCGCGGGGTAGAAGCCATCTACATTCCTCACCTCTTCAATCCACACCTTCTCCCAGCTTTTCCCAGTTGCAAAACACAACTGCCAGTGCTCAATACCTTTCTCTTTACAGGGCGTTATCGCAACCAAAGTGACGCAACAGAACACCTGCTACATTTCCGTCATGAACAAAAACAAGATGCCCAGCTTTGACAATCTGGCCAGACTGGCTAGAGAGAGCAGGGTAAGAGTCCAAAGAGCTGCAGTTTCTTGACCTTGGAGCCCACAGGGCCTTTTCTTAACTGGGCTTTTTCCTGCTGCAGAGGACCAGCTTGTCACTCGTGGCAAAACTGTCTTGCCCTCAACTGCAGTGCGGCTTGGGAATTTCCCCTAGGGATGTTTTGTCCCAAGAAAAGCTGGGTGGCCTCATTCCCTCTGCCAGCTGCGCTTTCTCTCAGCAACCTGAGCTCTGCGGCTTGCTGAGAAACCCTTTCTCTCAGCAGCTCTTCAAGGCCACCAATGCTTTTAGAGTGGCAATCCTTCCAAGGCCTTCAGAGCCATTTCAACACCAACCCTCCTCTGTCAGCTCAGACCTTTGCCTTGCAACTGCCATTGTCCACACTGCCTTCTCCTTTGGGTTGGGACAGAGCCTCTCTGTGCTGCACACCTTTCCCCCCAAACAGTGGCAAGAGCCACAACTGGAGGCCTGTGGCTGTAGTTGAGGAAGGATCTGGAGAGCAGTAGGAATCCCAGTTTGTAGCAGGAAGGACAGGCATTCAAGGCGTTGGTGCAGGTACAAAGCCCCCGAGTAGGAGAGCAGAGTGGGAAACAAAGCCCTCTGGAACCCATGAGAAAGACCTGTCTGTTAAATCCCCAAGAGTTCTCAAACAGGTCCTAAGCATCACCTGCAAAGAGTCCCAGTGGAGAAGGACCTGCAAGCTGTTACTGCTGCCCTCGTTGCTTCCATTTGAGCATGCTGGAGGAAGAGACTTCTCCTGCCAGGCCTCCAGCCTGAGCAGCTCTGGGAGGGGAGAGCACAGGGACGCAGCAAATGCTTTGCTGGCACGTCTGCCTTAACACACCGGCTGCACTCCTCGGCTCCTGCTCCGCGCTTGCCTTGCGCTGCCACTTCTCCTTAGGCTCCCTGCACCTCCACTGCCTTCCCAAGGCCTGCCTTCCGAGCTGTCTTCAAGGCTGCCCACTGCTCCCTCGGGACCCAGGGGATTCAAAGGCACCACTAAAGGCACCTGCCACTCACACCCCAAGCACCGGCTCGTCACTGCACGACTCGCCATGTGCCTGGCATGAAACGCGTCCCGGCACCCATCTTGCTGAATGCTGTCCTTTGATGTCCAGAACCAGGTCGGTCTTGCAAGACCTACAAAGAAGATCACCTTTGTGACCAAGGGATTGGTCAGCAACCTCCAGTCTTATGGAGCAGACATCTTCTCTATGTGCAGCGGACTCACCACCTACATGACCTATGAAATTAACGGTGAGTGCAAGCAAATGAATTCTGTGTCTCTCTGACCTGGCCATTTTTTTCCCTTGGCCAATGACTACTGCACCTGTGCTCTTCTTTCAACTCATAACGGATAAACCACCCCCTCTTGGGCAGCGGCAGCCGAGAGCGCAGGCCTCACCTCATGGCCTTTGGCTTTCTCTTTGCTTGCTTTTCCAGGATCCCAACTCAATCTGGGACCATGCGTCACCCTCAATGTCCTGAGAGTCGTGCAGCTGAACTACTGCAATGGCAATGGCCAGATTGTCCAGGTGGGAAACCCTTACCCTTCTCCAACCCAGCGCGGGGGCCGCCCAAAGACAACCCCCATTCCCTTCTTCCCTGCCATCTCCTCTTTGGAGAGCTTTCTTCTTGGGGGTGGAGACACTGAAACACAGCAGGGCTTGATCCTTTGTCCTTGGCAAGATCCTGAGGGCGCTGCTGGCACTCCATGCGGGCAGCTCTTCTCTTCTACCAGGGGGGATCTGGGCAGGTCACCGACTTCCTTCAAAGGCTAAAGGCTTCCTTCTTTCTTTTGGCGTTTTAGCCTTCCCAGGATCAGGGTCAGGATGAAAACCAAGAAGTCATCATTGGTGGCCAGTCCCAAATTCTGACCATCCACAAGCAATGGCGTGTGGCAGTTATCACCCAAACAACCTCCACTGGCTCCTGGAAAACCATCTGGAACTACAACACGGTGAGTGGCAGGGAGCGTGCTTGTGCGGGCACTGTGCCGGGAGGCTGCCTCCTGCTCCAGATGACCAAGGCACGGGGCTTCTTGCTTTCTTCTCAACCTTTCCAGTCCAGGATTTGCAGGAGGAACTATTGGTAGTCCTTACTGGTTTCAATCCAGATTTTCTCCCAGAGTTTCTGAGTGAGAAAAGTGAATTGACAGTGCTCACTACCTTTGTCTTTACAGGGCGTCATTGCAACCAAAGTGACGCAACAGAACACCTGCTACATTTCCGTCATGAACAAAAACGAGATGCCCAGCTTTAACAACCTGGCCAGACTGGCTAGGGAGAGCAGGGTAAGAGTCCAAAAGAGCTGCAGTTTCTTGACCTTGGAGTCCCTGTGGCCATTTCTTAACTAGGCTTTTTCCTGCTGCAGAGGACCAGCTTGTCACACGTGGTACGACTCTCTTGCCCTCAAGTGCAGTGCAGCTTGGGAATTTGCACGAGGGATTCTTTGTCCCAAGGAAAGAGGGGGGTCACCTTCCCTCTGCCAGCTGCGCTTTCTCTCAGGAACCTGAGCTCTGCGGTTTGCTGAGAAACCCTTTCTCTCAGCAGCCCTTCAAGGCCACCAATGCTTTTGGCGTGGCAGTCCTTCCAAGGCCTTCAGAGTCATTGCAATACCAACCCGCCTTTGTCAGCTCAGACCTTTGCCTTGCAGCTGCCATTGTCCACACTGCCTTTGCTGACAGGCACATGCAGGGGCTTGGGCCAGGCAACAAAGCCTTTGAGTAGGAATACTTCTCCTACCAGGCCTCCAGCCTGAGCAGCTCTGGGAGGGGAGAGCACAGGGACGCAGCAAATGCTTTGCTGGCACGTCTGCCTTAACACACCGGCTGCACTCCTCGGCTCCTGCTCCGCGCTTGCCTTGCGCTGCCACTTCTCCTTAGGCTCCCTGCACCTCCACTGCCTTCCCAAGGCCTGCCTTCCGAGCTGTCTTCAAGGCTGCCCACTGCTCCCTCGGGACCCAGGGGATTCAAAGGCACCACTAAAGGCACCTGCCACTCACACCCCAAGCACCGGCTCGTCACTGCACGACTCGCCACGTGCCTGGCATGAAACGCGTCCCGGCACCCATCTTGCTGAATGCTGTCCTTTGATGTCCAGAACCAGGTCGGTCTTAGCAAGACCTACAAAGAAGATCACCTTTGTGACCAAGGGATTGGTCAGCAACCTCCAGTCTTACGGAGCAGACATTTTCTCTATGTGCAGCGGACTCACCACCTACATGACTTATGAAGTTCACGGTGAGTGCAAGAACATGAATTCTGTCTCTCTCTGACCTGGCCATTTTTTCCACCTTGGCCAATGACTACTGCACCTGTGCTCTTCTTCCAAAAAAAGAGAGACAAACCACCCCCTCTTGGGCAGCGGCAGCCAAGGGTGCAGGCCTCACCTCATGGCCTTTGGCTTTCTCTCTGCTTGCTTTTCCAGGATCCCAACTCAATCTGGGACCATGCGTCACCCTCAATGTCCTGAGAGTCGTGCAGCTGAACTACTGCAATGGCAATGGCCAGATTGACCAGGTGGGAAACCCTTACCCTTCTCCAACCCAGCGCAGGGGCCGCCCAAAGCCAACCCCCATTCCCTTCTTCCCTGCCATCTCCTCTTTGGAGAGCTTCCTTCTTGGGGGTGGAGACACTGAAACACAGCAGGGCTTGATCCTTTGTCCTTGGCAAGATCCTCAGGGCGCTGCTGGCACTCCATGCGGGCAGCACTTCTCTTCTACCAGGGGAGATCTGGGCAGGTCACCGACTTCCTTCAAAGGCTAAAGGCTTCCTTCTTTCTCTTGGCGTTTTAGCCTTCCCAGGATCAGGGTCAGGATGAAAACCAGGAAGTCATCATTGGTGGCCAGTCCCAAATTCTGACCATCCACAAGCAATGGCGTGTGGCAGTTATCACCCAAACAACCTCCACTGGCTCCTGGAAAACCATCTGGAACTACAACACGGTGAGTGGCAGGGAGCGTGCTTGTGCGGGCACTGTGCCGGGAGGCTGCCTCCTGCTCCAGATGACCAAGGCACGGGACTTCTTGCTTTCTTCTCAACCTTTCCAGTCCAGGATTTGCAGGAGGAACTATTGGTAGTCCTTACTGGTTTCAATCCAGATTTTCTCCCAGAGTTTCTGAGTGAGAAAAGTGAATTGACAGTGCTCAATACCTTTGTCTTTACAGGGCGTCATTGCAACCAAAGTGACGCAACAGAACACCTGCTACATTTCCGTCATGAACAAAAATGAGATGCCCAGCTTTAACAATCTGGCCAGATTGGCCAGAGAGAGCAGGGTAAGAGTCCAAAAGAGCTGCAGTTTCTTGACCTTGGAGCCCACAGGGCCTTTTCTTAACTGGGCTTTTTCCTGCTGCAGAGGACCAGCTTGTCACTCGTGGCACAACTGTCTTGCCCTCAACTGCAGTGCGGCTTGGGAATTTGCACGAGGGATGCTTTGTCCCAAGGAAAGAGGGGGGTCACCTTCCCTCTGCCAGTTTTGCTTTCTCTCAGCAACCTGAGCTCTGCGCTTTGCTGAGAAACCCTTTCTCTCAGCAGCTCTTCAAGGCCACCAATGCTTTTGGCATGGCAATCCTTCCACGGCCTTCAGAGCCATTTCAACACCAACCCTCTTTTGTCAGCTCAGACCTTTGCCTTGCAGCTGCCATTGTCCACACTCTCTTTCCCTTTGGGGAGGGAGAGGGATCTGTGCCATGGCAAAGGCACCACTAAAGGCAGCTGCCACTCACACCCCAAGCACCGGCTCGTCACTGCACGACTCGCCACGTGCCTGGCATGAAACGCGTCCCGGCACCCATCTTGCTGAATGCTGTCCTTTGATGTCCAGAACCAGGTCGGTCTTGGAAGACCTACAAAGAAGATCACCTTTGTGACCAAGGGATTGGTCAGCAACCTCCAGTCTTATGGAGCAGACATCTTCTCTATGTGCAGCGGAGTCACCACCTACATGACCTATGAAATTAACGGTGAGTGCAAGCAAATGAATTCTCTCTCTCTCTGACCTGGCCCTTTTTCCCCTTGGCCAATGACTACTGCACCTGTGCTCTTCTTCCAACTCACGACGGACAGACTACCCCCCCCAGGCAGCGGCAGCCAAGGGCGCAGGCCTCACCTCATGGCCTTTGGCTTTCTCTTTCCTTGCTTTTCCAGGATCCCAACTCAATCTGGGACCATGCGTCACCCTCAATGTCCTGAGAGTCGTGCAGCTGAACTACTGCAATGGCAATGGCCAGAGTGTCCAGGTGGGAAACCCTTACCCTTCTCCAACCCAGCGCAGGGGCTGCCCAAAGCCAACCCCCATTCCCTTCTTCCCTGCCATCTCCTCTTTGGAGAGCTTCCTTCTCCAGCATGGAGAGCCTGAAACACAGCAGGGCTTGATCCTTTGTCCTTGGCAAGATCCTGAGGGCGCTGCTGGCACTCCATTTGGGCAGCACTTCTCTTCTACCAGGGGGGATCTGGGCAGGTCACCGACTTCCTTCAAGGGCTAAAGGCTTCCTTCTTTCTCTTGGTGTTTTAGCCTCCCCAGGATCAGGGTCAGGATGAAAACCAGGAAGTCATCATTGGTGGCCAGTCCCAAATTCTGACCATCCCAATTCAATCTGGGACCATGCGTCACCCTCAATGTCCTGAGAGTCGTGCAGCTGAATCTACTGCAATGTGCAATGGCCAGATTGACCAGGTGGGAAACCCTTACCCTTCTCCAACCCAGCGCGGGGGCTGCCCAAAGCCAACCCCCATTCCCTTCTTCCCTGCCATCTCCTCTTTGGAGAGCTTCCTTCTCCAGTATGGAGAGCCTGAAACACAGCAGGGCTTGTCTTTCAAACCACACCTGTCCCTTAAAGACCTGGAGTGTGCATTCCTTCTGCCCACTTCTCTTGCACGCCCCACACTCCAAAGGCAGCATACACCAGCTGTAAGATGCAGCAAGGATTCACGGAAAAAGAATTCTTACGGCTACGACCCAAAGACACAGCCTTGATCCTTTGCCCTTGCCAAGATCCTCAGGGCGCTGCTGGCACTCCATGCGGGCAGCGCTTCTTCTCTTCTACCAGGAGTTTGGGGAGTTCACTCATTCCCTTCATAACCTAAACATGTTCCATTACTTGGTGTTTTAGTCTCAGCAGAGTGATAACAACTGCCAGATCTCTGTTGGTGGAGTCTTCCAAAATATGACCATCAGTAGTCAAACCCATGTAGCAGTTTTTGAGCAAAGAAGCAACGATTTGTCATGGAAAACCATCTGGAACTACAACACGGTGAGTGGCAGGGAGCGTGCTTATGTGGGCACTGTGTCAGGAGGCTCCTCCTGCTCCACATGACCAAGGCACGGGGCTTCTTGCTTTCTTCTCAACCTTTCCAGTCCAGGGTTTGGGGGAGGAACTATTGGTATTCCTTGCTGGTTTCAATCCAGACTTTCTCCCAGATTTTCCCAGTTGCCAGTGCTCAATACCTTTGTCTTTACAGGGCATCATTGCAACCAAAGTGATGACACAGAACACTTGCTACATTTCTGTCATGAACAAAAACAAGATGCCCACCTTTGACGCCCTGTTCAGACTGGCCAGAGAAAGCAGGGTAAGATTAAAAGCAGAAGTTGCCTTG